AGAATTTGGTTGAAGACAGACCTATCTCAGAATTTGATTGAAGAACGCCCTCCCTGCTGCCGATTCAAAAACGTCCTATCTCAGTACATTTTAGATGTATTTTCAGTTGAGATAGGGCGTTTTTGTACCGAATTCTGATATAGGCGTTCTTGAAAAGTTTTCTGAGATTAGGGCGTTTTCGAACTGGCTGCCGAGATACATAAGTCGATCTTCCACTCAGGTGTCGATGTACTGTTCATTCTCAAATAACCTAGGATATAATTTTTAAACTATTCCCTTAAGCTGAAAAAAAGCCTTAAGAACTTCGAAAACCTCAAAACTTTTATTGACAGGACAAGTTTTGTATGAAATGAAAAAATCGGGTTGTTCGATATTCGAAAAATCAAGATTTCAATAAAAAAAAATGCCTACAGATATCAAAAAAAAAAAAAAAAAAACGGTGGAAACCGGGTTGAGAGAACCGAATCAATCACCCTAAAGTATGCCCTATTTCTCACCTTGAGGTATAGATTGGAGCCATGGCCGCAGACACATATCCAGGTTCTCCTGTTAGTCCCCCAGGCTCGAAATAGAGAAAAACATTTACCAATTTTAAATCTATGCATGTAGTTAAATGAAATGGGATGTACTAAGTCTACCTACATACATATGTATGTGCATCAGCTGTCGTGTCAGAAAATCCATTTAAACTACCTCAAGTTGAATGGCCCGAATTAACCTCACGCAATCAATTAGCATTTCTATTTCAACACTTCCTTTAAAAGGCGCGTGATAGACACACCCAACCTACTCATTAACATGCAGAAGAAGTTTGTTAACTTAATTGAAATTCTGCGCATACATAATATTTTCAAAGAAAATTCTGTTTCCTTGAACATTTATCCTGTAAAGGCCGCAGCAAGTAGACAGTGAATTGAAGGCTTCCTTCAATGTGACAAATTTTGAATAGTAACAAGTAACACGGCGACAAGTAATGATTGACAGTTTTCTTAAGTCATCGCACATTGCCCTCATACATACATACATACATATGTGCATACACATTGTATGGTATCAGCAGCTATCACCTACCGCCACCGCCACCGCCCAACTGAGTAGTCAAACGAAAGCAAAGCCGCGCAAAGAAAAGTTGGACATAGGAAAGAAATTAAAACTGGTTGGTAGCAGTTGGCACGTACAACTACTCGTATGTATGTCTTATGGCTTGCTGTTGCATGCACGTTGGCATTATAAGAAAGCAAAAAAACAAAAAAAACTATCATATGACCGGTGCAAGCCAATGCATTGTTATGCAACACGCTCACTGCAACACTAGTATGTAAATATCTATGCACACGCATATGGAATGGTATCTAAAGCTTTGTTTTTGCTATCACTGCAATTTCTTTGCAATGAAATTGGCGAACATTGAGAGCGTCAAAATTGTTCAATTAAGTTTGGACTTGTTTGATGATTGGGAGTTTTCCGAACATGCATATTTTCGTGGCATTAATAAGGCATTCAAAAGTATGGAAATATTA